ATCAGAGGGATTAGCTTAGTATCAACTCCTGTTAGTATAGGGGGATGGGTGGGAGGGGGGAAGGGTGTAGGTAATGCAACAAGGGTTTTTTGGGGGGTGGGGGTCGTTAGAGATCCATACCTGAGAGGTCATGGTTGGTGCCGCTTGGGAGTCAGTCGCCGCCATAGCTCGTAGCGAGTCCGTGCAGCGTGGAGTCAGGTAGCTTGCCCACAAGCACAGCGGACAGGGCACTGTACGCGTGCTACACCCGACACAGGCATGGGATCAGCTGTAAGGTTGCAAACCCGTGCAAGGATAGAGCAGGAGGATGGGCGCAGCACGAGAACTTGGCTGCTGGCTCCGGGTGATCATGCATGAGCACAATGCTTCGTATGTTTGCCAGTAGCAGTAGTGGAACCCGTATGCGTGGGTAGCTGTTGTGTGGGGCGAGCTAGCGAAACGTATATTTTGAAGCGCGTCGTGTAGTGGCTGTAAGTTTTTGGTTTTGCGGGGATGGAGTAGGATGGTGGAAGCGAGCGTAGCTTCATTTTGGTAGGATTGGGGTCGGTTCTTTTGTGGACGGGGGGAGTGGGGGGAGTGGATGTAACCCTCGAGTAGTCTTGTGTGGAGGGGGGAGAGATTGGGTATGGTTGTTTACTTCGAAAAGGCACTGCTTCAGCCATGGGTGTGTGCATGTGAGTTCGAGCTGCGGAGTGGGAGCGGGAGTACTGCCAGAGGTGAGGCATGTGCTCATGCTATCGTAGTTGCTGTCGGGTTGCTACTAGAACCGCTTCCGTCTTTGTCTTTTCTTGAGCACCCGTGTGTGCAGGGTGTGTGTTCTTTTGTCGTTTTGGGAGATGGCCTGACTATGGTGGAGGATGGTAGCATCGCGGTTTGTCTGTAATGTTTGCACGCCCGTTTGTCTTGTAGTGTATCAGGTGCGTCGTTTCGATGTGGTGCCTTTGCGATTACCGTTTTGCCTGTGTGTCGTACGGCACCCGAGTGAAGACAACGTTTGGCGTTTTTTGCGTGTGAGACTAGATCTTACTTTTCTTTGGTTATCTATCTTTTGTGTATTGGGTGGTGGGACCTATTGACCCATAACTGGAATGCGGGGAGTAGTTTTCATGATATATAGGTGCTTAGGCTTATTATTTGTGTTGTATATGTTTGTTGTCGGGGTTCCTACTTCAGGAGTAGTGGTTTTTATTTTGTGTGTGCTTATAAGGGGAGTTAGTTTAGCACTTAGCTGACGTTACTATAATTGGTTCGAATTTTGCGAGCTTTTTTTAAGGGTCAATTTTTATTTTTATCTTAATTTAACCATTGTTTTTTATTTTTTATTATTTTTTATTTTTATGATTATACAATTTTTTTTAATTATTACTTTTTTTTATATAATTATTTTATAATTTATAATTTATTATATTTTTATTTGTTTATTTTTTTACTTTGTTTTTTTAATTTTAATATCAAATGAAACATTCATCATTGTTATAATTATTATTCCTACAGTTATTATGTGTGCGTGTGTTTGTGTGTGCGTGTGTGTATGTGTGTGTGATATTATTCTTATCTCTATAATTATTTTTTATTTTATTTTTCATTTTTTATTTTTTTATTTTTTAATCGTTATTTTTATTTTTTATTTTTTATTTTTATTTTTATTTTTATTCCTAATTTTTAATCTTAGATTTATACTTACTTTTTATTTTATTATTTATCTTATATTTACTTTTATTTTTATTTATTTTCTTAAATATTTATGTCTATTTTTATTATTTATTATTTATTATTTTTTATTTTTTATTTATTTTTTATTATTTTTTATTGTTTATTATATTTTAATTTTATATTTTTATAAGAAAATCTTTAATTTTAATTTTATTTTTAATTATTGTTATTATTTTGATGATAAGAACTATTATTGCTATTATTATTTATTATTTCTATAGTTATTATGTATGCGTGTGTGTGTGTGTGTGTGTGTGTGTGCGCGTGGTGGGTGGCGGGGGGATGGGGCGACCCCTTCCCCACCACTCAATCAATCAATCAATCAATCAATCAATCAATCAATCAATCAACGGAAAAAAAAAAAGCAAAATTGAATGAATCTTCCGCTAAAACATGGAAATATACAGTACTCCGTGTGTGTGTGTGTGTGTGTAGGCCTGTTGGGGGTGGGGGGGGGACCCTGCTCCCACCAATCAATCAATCAATCAATCAATCAATCATTCACTCAATCAACGAAAAAAGAAAAAAAGAAAATCGAATGAATCTTCCGCTAGAACATGGAAATATACAATCGTATCTGTGAGTGTGTGTGTGTGTGTGCTCCCCTGTGGGGCCAATCAATCAATCAATCAATCAATCAATCAAC